GGCGGGCTCCTTCGCCTCTCCTTCCTTTCCCTTCCGACTAATCCGGACTAAGGCGCCGGCCTCGTTCATGTGATTGGCATTCCAAAACCTTCCTAATCAATCCCCTTTCTATTTGCCCCCATTCTTGAACCTCATACTTTCTGCAGCTCGATCGTATCTTGGGACGCTATGGCACTTTCATCATCGAGCGCGCTGGATCCGATGTCGATCAAGCCATGGAGTCATTGACAGCATGGCGTGACAATATTTACGTCGTACGACAAACTATACAGAATGATGTCTCTTCAACCAAGGTCCGGTTGTTCCTGAAGCGTGGGATGAGTGTTCGGTACTTGCTTCCGAATCCCGTCGTCGATTATATCGAAGCCAATGGGCTCTATCTCGACGATGGTCCTAACGCGAGTGCGTCTGGCCCGACCTATGTGACCACCAACTCGTCGGACCATCCGCCGGCAGCCTCAGCCACAGGTGGATCTTCAATGTTGAGCTGATCACAGTACTAGCTTTGTAAATTACGACACATTATTTTTGACTAGGTGTTGGAGATGGACGGCTATTTATCATTCTAGATAGTTATATTAAATACAGATCGAATATTAGAAATCGATGGCTCTGTACGAGTGTCAATTCGCTTCGTCACGATTCAAAGCTACCAAGAAATCTCTTTGCTCCATACTCCTCTTGGTCTCTAAGATTCCAGGTCTTCCTACTGTCACGCCGAGGTAACGGTTATAGTGAACGACTCTTGTTCCACTGGTTCTATTCACTGACTTTCTTGTCTGGCTCCTCGATTTCCTCTGTAGCCGTTTTGAAGTCAGCAGTGATGCCATTCCTTGCCAATAGGAGATCCCGAGCAGTGGTTCTCCACTTGCGGAAGTTCTTCTCATCACCAAGGACAGCGTAAATGCTGAACAGGTTGGTGGCGTCTACGAGTGTAAAGGGTTCCAGTCCTTCTTTCGTAGCAACGACGATCCTTTGGATTGACTTCATGATCAAGTCGGACGGATCATTTTGGAACTCCTCTGAAGATCTCCAAGATTGAAAGACGGGCGCCTTGGGCCAGTTTATGATGTCCGCTCGGCGCGAGTCACTCTCCTTTAGTTTGACCTTGGGTAGTGTGCACCATTTACACTGGCATGTGAAGTCATAGAGCGTGGCCAGCTGTGTTCGCCGCTTGATTGAATCCTGTAGCACATCTATGTATGAGATGAATATTTCTTCTCCAGCTTTGATCGGTCTTGAGGCGCGAAGCTCAATTGCCCAGGTGTTGAGATTAAATCGCGCGAATGCATTAGGCCCACAGCTATGATTAGCTTTCGAAAAGTCGAAGAATATGCCTACATGAGGAGGCGCATTGGGATATGGAGAAAAGGTGAAGCCGTTAGTTCGTAAGCGCCCGAATAGAGGTCCAGCTTCTAGTGTCGACTTGCAATTCTGCAATTTTGAGAATGCATTCTGTTGTGAAACAGGAAGTCTGGCAAAAAGAATTGAGAGGTACGATTCTATTTGAGCTATATCGGCAGGGAATTGCTGGTTATATGCTGCCATCAGTCTCTTGTATAAACGGATGACTTTCGGCTCACCGATCTCGTAACAATAACTGGCCTCTCGGAGAGTATTAGGTCTCCCGTCCTCAGAGGTTCTGCCGCGAACATACCCTGGCCAGCAGTGTCGGATTTGGTTAGACGGTAAGGAGTACGCCCATTTGCTGGAACTTCAGGGGAATGCGTAGCCAGTGACTGTACTCGATCCTTTGTTTGCTTGAAAATGAAAGCAGGGATCGTATGATTGGGCTGATCAGGAAATATCAAGCCGGTCAGGAGAAGATCGTTCGGATCTCCATCGTCTTTCACTTCTTCTAAAAGAATTCCATTTCCTTCAATGATCCCACTCATCAAAATTTGTGATAGTTCTTGGTAAATTAGCGGCGAGACCCAAGGCTCGTAAAGGTGGCGAGGTCGAAGCCTATTCCCTCTCAGCTTGCCTACAGTCCCTTTCTTCAGCTTTCGATTTACATCTAATATTCTAATACCCAGTCCAAAAGCGATTACGTACTCAATATTTCTCACTTCATCTGGATTCGACGCCCAAATCGTTCCTGAAGGTAGGGACTTTTAGAACACTGATGAATTGTTTCCGTCTGTATGCTAAGGCCACCCTTTCCTAGATCACTGTTCCAAAACCTTCTTACGGTCTCATAAAGTCTCCAGTCTAGTACTACATCTCACCTAACTCGAACCACTATGCGAATAGCTTCTCCA